ATCACTACGGGCACGTTCCGCGCGAGTGCCATCAGAGCCTTCGTTCCGTCCCTCTCGTTCTCATGGCTCCACGCCAGTACATCCTACCGTGGCTGGCTTAGCCACCCCGGAGACGGAAACCAATAGCAATAACGCCATGGAAGGAATATTGTCGAGAAGGAGGATCCACAGTGCGAGTAATGCTCGTAGGGAGACATTACTACGGTCTCCTCTATCCTCGGAAGTCGAGTCTCAGGGACCCTCGCAGGCAGTGGACGCCAGAAAAGAGACCTTGCGTACAAATACTATCATGCAGGAACATGACAGACAATCTGGCTGTGCTAATGAGACCGGTTTTGCCAGACCTGCATTGGAAAGGACAGGGTCGGACCCTCGGCAACACTTGACCGGAATTGCTGCAAGTCAGGATTCAGGTTATGATGCACCGGGTGACAATTCCCAGCATCTGCCTACGGAGTCATCTTCACAGCCTTTTATCGACAATATCGTTGCCCAAGATATGTGCTTGCCCAGTCCCAGTTTGTCTCCAGTGGCGGCTCTAAATGCCGCGAACATCGATTCCTCTTTCGATTCTGGTGAAGACCAGGAGGACACGGACTCCAGCTTTGATAACAGTGATTCTCGCTTTATTGGGCCTTTGCCCGTAGGGGACTCCAACGGCGAAGCGACGTATGTTGCCAAGCCCGAACAGCTTGCCGGACCCATGATGCAGCGCCCCACTTCCATGATGGATATACCCAATGTGCTGGACTTCTTTGACTCAGTACCTGACAGTATGAAAACATATATGATGTACCAATTCCTGAGGCGCTGCCCGAAACAGACGCTGCACTTTGTTGCGGACGTTGTCAACCCTGCCTTGAAATGTGACTTCCTGTCCCTGCTTCCGCTCGAGCTCAGTCTTAACATCGTGAAATATTTCGACGTTCAGACCATGTGCCGCGCAGCTCAGGTGTCCAAGAAATGGAGGCATATCATTAATTCCGACGAAAAGTCCTGGAAGGAGCTTTTTGATAGGGACGGATATGTTCTTCCCGAGGGCGAGTTGGATCGTGCGATCAGGGAGGGCTGGGGATGGCAATTTCCGAATGGCTGCGAGGATTTTGAGAAGGACATGAGTATGTCTCCTTTCATCAAGCCAGATCCAGAATCTTCTGTTCCTGCCTTGCAAGCCTTTGGCGAGTCTAGTGATAGGACTTTGTCCGTGAGTCGCCGGCCTAAAAGGAAAGCGTGCACCCGTGTGTCTAGCCGTAAGCTTTCGAAGCGCAAGATCTCCTCCAGTGGCACTGATCACTCCGAGTCTTCGGATTGGAGGAAAGAGGTTTCGGCTTCGGAGGGACCTTATGCGGCTGCGAATGCTGCTGCGGCGGCCGTCCCATATCCAGAGATCGGCTTGCCATCACTTCGCGGTCTTCACCTCTACAAATCGCTATATCAGCGTCACCATTCAATCCACAAGGCTTGGATGAAACCCGTTGTCAAGCCAAGACACATCGCCTTCCGCGCCCATGATCGCCACGTTGTCACTTGTCTCCAGTTCGATACGGAGAAGGTGCTTACTGGGAGCGATGACACGAACATCAATGTTTATGACACTAGGACTGGTGAGCTCAAGGCCACTCTTGAAGGCCATGAAGGTGGTGTATGGGCACTTGAGTATTATGGCAACACTTTGGTTTCTGGGTCTACCGACAGGTCGGTAAGAGTTTGGGACATCGAAAAGGCTCGGTGCACTCAAATATTTCATGGCCACACCTCTACCGTGCGCTGCCTGCAGATTGTCTTACCGGTCGAGGTGGGAAAGAAGGCGGATGGCACACCTGAGATGATGCCAAAGGAACCATTGATCATTACAGGCTCTCGTGACTCGAACCTTCGTGTCTGGAAACTTCCCAAACCAGGAGATCCGGGTTATTATCAGAGCGGACCTCATGTCGATGACACAGACTGCCCATACTTTGTCCGTGTCCTCACTGGGCACCAGCACTCTGTCCGGGCGATCGCAGCGCATGGTGACACGTTAGTGAGTGGAAGCTATGACTGCACCGTGCGTGTATGGAAAATATCCACAGGAGAGACTGTACATCGGCTTCAAGGTCATACTTTGAAGGTGTATAGTGTCGTTCTTGACCATAAGAGGAATCGTTGTATCAGTGGATCCATGGATAACATGGTCAAGGTGTGGTCATTGGAAACGGGTTCTATTTTGTACAATCTGGAAGGCCACACGTCCCTTGTTGGTCTGCTTGACCTCAAGTGTGATCGTCTAGTCTCGGCGGCTGCGGATTCTACGCTGAGGATCTGGGATCCTGAAACTGGGCAGTGCAGGAATATGCTGAGTGCTCACACTGGTGCAATCACTTGTTTCCAGCATGATGGCCAGAAGGTCATTTCTGGATCAGATCGGACACTGAAGATGTGGGATGTAAAAACCGGAGATTGTGTCCGGGACCTTCTCACCGACCTCAGTGGCGTGTGGCAGGTAAAGTTCAACGACCGGAGATGTGTCGCTGCAGTGCAGCGTGACAGCTTAACATACATTGAGGTAAGTTCAGTCTATCAAGCATTCAATTGCCATTCACTAAGAAATCTTAGGTCCTTGACTTTGGCGCTTCCCGCGATGGAGTACCAAGCGAACAGTTAGGAAGACGCATCGTCGTCAATAGATGGGGTCAGGAAGTCAGTGACACCGACGAAGATTACGACCTTTCGGACGCCTGAACATACTACGTCTGTCGCCGACTGCCTGCTTCACTGCTTGGGCAGATGAAAGATTTTTGTGTCCTCTGCGACAGGCAACACGAACGGCAATTTCTCACGTTATATTCCCCCTTTTTCTTTTTCGCAACATATTCGAACCATGACATAACTACGATACCCCCAATCAATGGAACTATAATTACCTTTATGAGAGTTTGCATAGCGCGGTTAGCATCCCTTGACATGCTGCATCATGACGGACAGGCGTTTTGGCATTCAAAACGGACTCACCAATCAGCCTCTTGTCTAATAACTCTTCTCTCTTACCTCCTCGATCATACCACATCCGCATGCTCGATATGCATCCTTTTGTCCTCCTGTCCGCCTCTGTTTAACACGGGCGCTCCCGTCTCCGAGCTTCTACATATTCCGACTACCCCGTCTCTGTTTTATATCCGAATACTATAGACTTGAAGTGGCTTTTATCTGCAATCGAATACGATATGATTCTTGTATTTACATTCCAGCTATCCTATTCTTCCGTAAGCATCTTCGTGCACGTGAGAAGACACCCTTGTCGAGCATCTTTAGCCTGGAAGCGCATGGCTCCGTCGTAAACATAGTCGAAGATGAGACTATAGCTTTTCCGCTTTTCCTACTTGACCCCGCCCACCCTGGGAAGCGCGGTGTAAGGTGGCGCGGTCCTTAACAGTCCAAAAACCATGGTGCAGGCTGAGCGGTATGATATCCTGGGCCGGGCTCGAGGTACGAGGCCGCACATATCATGAATTATTCCACGGACCCAGTATTGCATCTCTATGTTGAATGATAACTGCTCAAGCATGTGAAGCAGTCTCAACATCCACTAGGTAGTCCCTGCAGCAACAGTGACATGAGACTAGCAGAGCCCTGTCGCGCGATCTTTCTCGCAGCTAGCGAAGCTAGCCAGTCCTTAAGTATCGGAACGCACTATCAACGAACATTTCAGCAGCCAGAGAAGGCACCAAAACCCCTCAAGGCCCAGCCCCAGAGGACATACTTGACCCCGTCAAATCAGGTTGGCCGTGACTAGACTTCACCTCCATCATCCCATCATAGCCAGCAGCAGACAAGATAGCCCAACGAATGGGACTAATCCCCAGGTAATTTCCAGGAGTGCGGAGGACCTTCGAACTGCATGTCAGAATCTCGCCCAGAGCACCGGGACCTTCGTCTCGGCCAACAGGCTGGATGATAGGACGGAGCTCCTGTATCTTCTTCTGTGTCTGGAGCAGACGTTCCTCTGTTACTCCAGAGGCGAGTTGACTCGTCCTCGCCGCCATGATATTATCCACTTTCGAGACGATGATCTGGTGTGGGATGGCGTAGTGGCGGAATAATTCGAGGATGCCTTCGTCGGAGTGCTTGATGCCGTGTTGGCCGTCGATTAGGATGAAGGTGCGGCGGAGTCTATGGAGGTAGATAGTTCGTTAGCCTGTAGTTCACTATAATATATGAATGCTTGGGGTAAGAAATGCAATACTCACTGCTTCCTATTCTTCAAATACTTCATAATCTCATTTCCCCATTCCGATCGACTTCCCTTTCCGTATCCCGGCATATCAAGCAACACGACCTTCGACTCGCCGCCCTTTGTTCCTCCGATACCGAATGCGTTCATCGTCTGCGTGCGCCCTGGTTTCGACGACGTCCAGCATATCTCCTGCCCCATGAGGGCGTTCAACAATGAGCTTTTACCAACATTCGACCGTCCTAGAAACGCTAATTCGGGAGTCGTCGAGGAGAGCGGCGTCGTGCGGAACTTGCTCAGGGTCCAGAGCTTGATTGGGGAGTGGCGCGAGGGGGCGAAGAATTTGTCTGCGTACGCGAGTTGGCTTTCATCCGGTGCTTGTGTGTCCCAGTAGTAGTTCACAGCTGTGGCGGGGATGTCTCTGAATTGTAGTTTGTTGTTGGGCTGCGGCCGCGGTTGCGGTTGCGATTGCGGATTCGGAGGTTTGCTTGTCGAATAGTTGCGACGAATGGGGAGGATCTGCGCTTGGGGAAGGCAGAGGGGCCTTAGGGAGGAGATTCGGTTTTTCATGATGTGCTGAGCGACCGAGTTAGACGGAAGAGGTGCAATGATCGACTTGTAGTATTTGGCTGGATTACTTCAAATCTAAGAGCTTCTCCAGAAATTGTCCCCGGATAAGAAAGTCTTCCGAGCTGCGGTTCGAAGCTCGGGGAACCTTTGCCGAGTCTCCGCTCCAGGCCGATAAGGCAGTCCGAGGGACAGCTTCATCTATCGCTCATCATCGGTCATTATTCCACCCCTTACACGGTCACTACTTTTACGTGCTGCTCTTTTCCACCAACTGGGTTGATCGCCTATCTTTGCTTCATACTTAGGAATCATTCTTCGATTTCTATCGCCCGCAGAACACGTCCAACACCGAGCTAGAATCACCCGTGCCCCGCGGACACTGCACCAAGATGATCAACGCCGTCCTCGTCTTCAACAACAACGGACAACCCCGGTTAACCAAGTTCTACACACAGATTGTGCGTCTATACTCAATCAGATCTTCCCAACCAACCCACCCCTCACCTACCAAGCATCCCATACTAACAATGCCCAACCAACCAGGACACCCAAACCAAACAATCCCTAATCGCGCAAATCTACAACCTCGTCTCCCAACGCCCCGCCAGCGCCTGCAACTTCCTCCCCCTCCCACCACTTCTCTCCCGCGGCGCAAGCTCCGGCGCAGAAAACGGCCCCTCCGACGCCCCCACCCAAATCACCTACCGGAACTATGCCACCTTGTCGTTCATCATGATCTCCACGTCGACTGAGTCGCCGCTGGCGCTGATCGATCTGATCCAGGTCTTCGTGGAGGCGTTGGATCGCATGTTCGAGAACGTGTGCGAGCTGGATCTCATCTTCGGGTATGAGACTATGCATGCGGTGCTGAGTGAGATGATTGTTGGTGGTGTGGTGGTGGAGACGAATATTGATAAGATTGTGTCGGCGGTGAGGGATCAGGAGGGTAATTTGGGGAAGAAGAGGGCTATTCAGGCGGCTAGTTCGGGGATTGGGAGGACGGGGCTGCCTGGGTTAGGGGCTTGGAGGTGAGGTGAGCGTGAGTTGATGGGATTAGGTATGTTACGAGTAGGTTATGACATGGGTTTCTATACTGTTTGGATCATGTTTAATTCATGGCTATTGGTGTGTTATATAGATGGATAGTGTCATGGATACCTGAGCATGAGTTTGGCGTTTCTAGTGGATGTATGTTGGGGATTAGAATTATAAATGTCCTTTGACCTAAATGACTATTTGAGAATGTCTCCAGAACAGTACGACTAATAAGTGTGTTGCATGCTATGGACCCACTAAATTAATAGAGAATCCATTAAATGGATGAGTGCGCATATCAACTGAATACTAGTAGACGACCATCATCAAAGTCTAGACTGCCATGCAAATACATGTAAGAGACATCCAACCTGATTGGCCCATCCTGCTACATCAACCCCAAGGGCTAACCCTAGATCACCTGACCGAGCCACCACCCAGCCCCGGTAAACAAGATAATCCGCCCGCGGCCCACACAAGCAAACGGCGCTAATGGATTTCTTCTCAGAGCGCGAAATTAATTGAACGTCTTCTTTTCTTCTTCTTCTTCTTGACTGTCAATCCTGCACCCAACGCCGCCGCGGATCCCGTCGACAAAATGGTAAGCACATAGAATCGTCCATTTCACGCCTCTTCTATTCAATTAGAATTGAGCCTATCGACTATACGCTGCGAAACATGTCGTGAGACGAGAATTGCTTCCGTCTCGCTTCATCTCGCAACATGTCGAGAAGCGACACAAATTTCCGTTGACTCGCTTCTTCTTATTCACAACCCGTAAAATGATTATGAAGGAGGGTTGTGATCAGCGATGATTTTTGGCTGGAGGTTATACACAAACTGCTCCCTCAGGGAAATCTAGGAAACTTGGTTTTTCTCTCTGGGACAGTTTGTGTATCCTCCCTAGAGTTCAAGGAAGATGCAGCAAGATGGTGGAACAAGATTGCTGATCTTCTTTTCTCAATGATAGCCTGCCCAGAAGTCCGGAAAGAAGACTGCTCCCCTCCCTTACCCCCAGGGTAAGGCTGGCGCTAAGAAGGCTCCCAAGGTAGGCAAACTCATACCCTTATCAACACTGACCAACATGGAAAATACTAACATGGTATGAATAGAACCCTCTCATCGAGAAGCGCCCCCGCAACTTCGGCATTGGCCAGGACATCCAGCCCAAGCGCAACCTCGGCCGTTTCGTCAAGTGGCCCGAGTATGTCCGTCTTCAGCGCCAGAAGAAGATCTTGAACCTGCGTCTCAAGGTCCCTCCTTCCATTGCTCAGTTCCAGAACACCCTGGACCGCAACACCGCTGCCCAGACCTTCAAGTTCCTCAACAAGTACCGTCCCGAGACCAAGGTCGAGAAGAAGGAGCGTCTTCACGCCGAGGCCACCGCCGTCGCTGAGGGCAAGAAGAAGGAGGATGTCTCCAAGAAGCCCTACAACGTCAAGTACGGTCTTAACCACGTTGTCGGCCTCGTCGAGAACAAGAAGGCTTCCCTTGTCCTGATTGCTCACGACGTTGACCCCATTGAGCTGGTTGTCTTCCTGCCCGCTCTTTGCCGCAAGATGGGTGTCCCTTACGCTATTGTTAAGGGTAAGGCTCGTCTTGGAACTGTTGTTCACAAGAAGGTATGTCAATCCCATTCTCCTACATACTCTATTTCATATATTAGTAGCAGACAACTAATAAATGGTATAGACCTCCGCTGTCCTCGCTCTCACCGAGGTCCGCTCCGAGGACAAGGCCGAGTTCGCCAAGCTCCTCTCCGCCGTCAAGGAGGGCTACTCCGACAAGTACGAGGAGTCCCGCCGTCACTGGGGTGGTGGTATCATGGGCGCCAAGGCTGTTGCCCGCCAGGAGAAGAAGCGCAAGGCCGTTGAGGGTGCTATCCGTGTCTAAAAAGCTAGCTAGCCTAACCAGCGAGCTACTAACAACACCGACGGGATAAAAAAAAAATCTTATACCATCAACGAAACTTCTAATGACCCTTCTTCTTCATCCTATCCTATTTTCCTATACTCTTCATGTACACGTTGCAGATACCCATGAATGCTATTTCAGACATCATCAACAACCACAGCTTCGGTTTTGTTATCTTTCTTGTGTGTGTGAACTTTGTAGGAAGTTGTCTTGGGAGTTTGAGCATTCATGTGACGTCTGCAATATGTACATCTTAGTTGTAGATCGAAGTAAGCGGTAAAAGTCTTAGATCGATAGCTTGTGTTCATTCAGGTGGACTCAAGCAGAAAAAGCCATGAAAATTTTATCTGGACTGATCTAGCCCTTTAATCCGGCCCCACAAAATTAACTGCCGATGCAGTGCAAGCCAACCATACCGATAGAGCAAACAAGTCATGACCCGTACAATACAGCATCACATTAAAACATGGTACAGAAAGGTTTGGTTGTCTATACATCAATCAAGTCATGTAATCACTCAAGCAAAAACAAGGTATGGCAATGGTATGGTATGATGGTATGGAGCAAAACACAAACAAGAAAAACACAAAATCATATCAATGCACCCAGATGCCCCCCTTGAACCCATTTGTTTCCCAGTCCAGGCAAGAGAATGTCCGCGCACACCCCAATGTAATAAAACGCAAAAGCAATCCGAACTAGAGTGTATAGATGGTGGTAGTGGAAGAAGGATATTGACCGAAAGACCCGCCCAATGAGAAGATAAAAAGAGACAATGAAGCTAACTCAGCGAAATGAGAATGAAGAACACTTCCGGGGAATAGGTAGGTGTAAAAGGAGGTGGAGAGTAGTCGTGTGATTCATTCATTCATCAGCGTTGAGAGGGTGGTCGTGTAAGCCCTTGCCTTGCCTGTTGCACTTCTAAGTCAGCAAATGTTTCGCCAGGAACAGATCAGGGAACCAGGTTATCGTTGATCCATACCTTCATTTGTTCGATTCTTGCCTTGAGTTGGCTGGTTACTTCCGCAGCTCTCTTCCAGCTCTCCGCTGGCTCGGCACTCCTGGCGGGTTGTTCTTCGCCAGAAGCACTGCCCGAGCCCAGTCCTGATGACCGAGTCGGACTTCCCAAGCCAGAGTAGCCGGTACCCAAGCTAGGACTGAGCTTGCGCCGACCAAGCCCTGCCTCTCTAGCGCTGAGTCCCGAGGATTCCAGGCCATTGTTCTCCTTCTCCTCACTCGGGCTAGCCGAAGCATAGGAGCGCGGCCGTGAGCTCTCGAATCGCGAGCCCATGAGACCAGCCCGTGACATCGGTGTACGGCCATCTTCTTGGTATACGGAGCCTGATTCGGACATAGGCATACCGATATTCTCCGGTAGGGTGTTGGGAGGGCTAATGGCACTAGCACGAAGAGCTCTTGCGAGCTCACGCTTCAGGCGCTCAATTTCCCGCTGCTGCTTTTGGACAGTCTGCTCCGCTGACTCTGCATCGCTTCGTGCGCGAACCAGTTGGGTTTCCTTGGCCTTGATACTCAGGACATCCCTTGTGTGGTCTTCAATTAGCTGCGCGTTCTGGTCTTGAAGCTCCATCACTTGCGAGTTCAGCTTGGTCCTCTCAGACCTCAGGTCCTCAACCATACGTATGAACCGCTCCTTCTCCGCACGTAGCTCATCCAACTCAGCTCGTTCCAGGGCCGAGATTCCGCTGAATTGAGGAGCTGCAGGAGCGGGCGCAGGCTCGCTGGGAGCCGCTGGTTTCGCAATCGGTCGGCCTGCAAGTCCTCTTCCCAGACCAAATTTGGGAGGTGCCGGTGCAGGCGGCTGCTCCTCCGTGGGAGGAGAGACAACCCGCCGCTGCGGAGATGCAATTCCTCCAGGGCCACCGAGCCTCTTCTTGAGACCGCCAGGAGCCGGCAGACCACCAGGTTTGGCGGGCCCTCCAAGCTTAGAAGGAACGGACCTTGCGGGCTTGGGTGACGGAGCAGCTACGGGTTCCTCGACAGGAGGCGCGGCAGCAGCCGGCCTCTTGGCTCCCAGTGCAGGCTTCTTCGCCACGACCTTCTTTCCAGGGGCAGGTTTCGGCGGTGCCACGATCGGCTTAGGTCTATCCTTTGCCTTGACCTCCGCTGTTTCGAAGAATTCCTTGATTTTGGTCTTCCTGATGTCGTCGAGACCGTCCAGATAGGGGTTCATCGCCCGCTCGCCCATGATCTTCATCAAGGTACCGAGAACTTCAGCTCCTCCGGCACGGTTGACCTCAGTAGATTCAGTAAGGAGTTTCGTGCCTGCCTCAGCTATCGACTTGACTTCCGGTTTCGCCGGAACATCTCTGGTTGTACGTAGGCAACGGATCAAGAACTTGAGTGTTTCCTGTTTGACTTGAGGGTTCTTGTGCTTGAGGAATTCGAGTATCTCCTCCAGGCACTCTGACAAGCTAGTCGCGATGAATACTGCATCCAAAGCTTGACCCAGGGCATCCGCCACACTCTGCTTCTTTTCCTTCAAGCGCTCCAGCATGGGCGACATGATGGTAGGCCGATACTTGACGAATCCACTGCGAATTCCCTTGGCAAGAAGTTCGATACAGTTGGCGGCAACGGTTACAACGGCGATGTTTGCATCCTTCATGGATTTAGCCAACATACGAATAACGTCATCGAACGGTCCATCCTTGATCCGGGGAACGTTCAATACAGTGTGCAGAGCGTCCAAGGCCTCTTTCCTATCCTTCCACTTCGAAGAAGAAAGCTGCTCCTGGAAGTTCCCTGGGATCTTGGAGAAGACATCAACGGGCTCGGCCAGGTCGAAAGCATCGACCTCTCCTTCATCTTCCTCTGCCGGGTATTCCTCGCCTCCTTCAAACTCATCGTCATCACCCTCTGGCGCAGCGCTGGCTGCGGCCATGGCATCTTGCTGTGCCCTCGTGAACCTCTCCTGCTTGGGCGCCGGCTCTTGCTTGACATTTTCAAACAGCTTCTCCAAATCCTGTTGCTGTACGGGCTTGAGTTCGTTCCAGAAAAGCGGTTTGATGGCTTCCTTCAGCCAGCGGTAGAGTTCCACAGTGAGGTTCTGCGCTTCCGCACGGACATTCTTGTCGGCATGGCCGAAAACCTTTGGCAAGGCCTTCAACACAGGCTTGGGGTCAACAATCTTGCAACCGAAGTTGTGATAAATTGCTCTCAATCCTGCCAGCGCAGCGGCAATAACCTTGGGAACTTTGTGTGACAGAGCGGGGAGCATTTCTTCGATGACGGGATCCGATTTATCCAGCTCAACACATAATAACAGGGCTTCGATCGCATTCGTTTTGGCAGCGGGTCGCGTGGATGGGAGACCCTTTTCACATATCGGGAAGACGGTAGTTGCTCGGGTCCTTCACCACACATGTTAGCCATCAACCACCATGAATTGTTCTAACAGCATCAATATTCCGTGAAACATACCTTGTACAAGCCTGAACACCACCGAATTTCAAGAATGCGCAATAAGATCCAAGACCCTCTTGTTGAGCAGCGACATTGGAGTCTGCCACAGCCCCTTTCCACAAGCCGGGATCTTGTATGAATGGCGTGAAAACGGGATCCGACTCATCAGGCGACTTCTCAAATTGTTGTTTCGCATCCTCATATCCATTCTTGCGGGCTTTCCAGTTCTAATCCAAGAGCATAGACATGTCAGTGTTCAGATATATAGTAACAACCCCGCGAACCCTAAACATGGGGAAACGGAAGCAAAACAGCGACAAACTAACCTTGTGCGAGAACCGATCCGTCAATGGCAAGGAAGAGAAATCCTCCTCCTCGGCCATATTGAATATCTAAAAATAAGTCTGTATGATGGTAATCAGTTAGCATCAAACATCGATTTTGTTTTCGCAAGCGTGCAGTCCAATCACTGAAGTGGCTCATAATTTGAAACCCCAAATAGCGACGGATCCTTATCGCTAACAACTTGAATAAAGCACACACACAAACACGCACACACACCTTGGGGTTTATTCGTAGTAGCGTATATTCCGATCGCAGATCTCGTGCACGGGCGGCGGCGGCGGCGGCGGAGAGTTGACTGACAGAAAGGTTGGTTCTGATTGAGAGGGGCTTTTTGCTTCGGGTTAGGTTCGCCGGATGAATAAAGTCACTAGTTTCGAGAAAAGGATGGGGTGTCTCGAAAAAAAGGGGGAGTGACAGCGCGACGTCAGGAGAGGGGGGAAGAAAGAAGAAAAAGGTTTAATGTAGGCGGAAGTGGGGGGAGAAATTGATGAAGTCAACAAGAAAGTTGAAAGAGGAGAGAGAAAAGGGAAGCTGGAAAGTAAACAACGGATCAAGAGTCGCTGGGGTGACTTTCGCGACCCAATGGAAAAGGCTTGGCTTGGCGGCGAACCAACTTTCGAGAACTGGTTTGGTTGTAACTTGACTGCCCCGTTCAGGTACCAATTTGGGAGGGGGGTTTATATAGACATTGGGAGGGTATGTAGTAGAGGATATATGGGGAAATAGATTATATATTAGGTATGTTTGGGGTTTGGTGAATGCTGGTTCTTTCCATGTTGTAGTTTTGGCTGTTTCACTGTTCGTGGAGGTTCATGTCTCCGGTGATGTAGGAGTACTTGGGAGTACATCTTCTGGCATATGTTTACTGTGTGGAGGTGAGGTTACTTTATGTCAATTTGACAGGCATGTTCCGGAGAACAGTATTGTATACATATAGTCATTACTTTATAATACCAATTAAACTAAATAGTAGAATATCATCAAGAATATTATTGTATATTCAAGTCTTATACTCAACCCCGCAAGTAAATAACAGTCACGTGATAGTTCTCCAGAACAGTATCTGCATATCACCTGGATTATTCCTTTTATATCATAGAATTAAATGTTATGGTCTATTGTTTTATGTCTCTTAAATTGCCTGCATGTATGTTGCATGAGTCAGTAGTCTAGACGAATTGAGGTCGGATGTCGCTGTAAATCGTGCAGTGGGAACTACCGGATATCGTACTACCAATAACAGTGCTGTGTATTCCCCGGTAGATGATTGCAGTAGATGTATACTATGCACAAAAGGTAGTAGTGCCTTGCTACAGGATTACACATTTGATATATGCCCTCAGACCCTAGTGATATCCAGCCCAGCTACACATCTACACACAACCAACCAACCCCACAGCCAGTCCAACAAAAGCACAATATGCCATGAAAAAAGTAAATAGCTAGTAATATACAGACACACAATGTTTACATACAACATATTGGAACAGATAAGAGATAAAAGGAAACCAACCCCACAACAACAACAACCAAACCAACCCATCTATCTAACCTCTCATCTCTTACCCCCCCCCCCTCTT